AACGACAGAGTCCTTCCTACAATAGAAACCGTTACAACGACAAAGCCTGTTCTACAATAGAAACAGTTACAACGACAGAGCCCGTCCTACAATAGAAACCGTTACAACGACAAAGCCTGTTCTACAATAGAAACAGTTACAACGACAGAGCCCGTCCTACAATAGAAACCGTTACAACGACAAAGCCTGTTCTACAATAGAAACAGTTACAACGACAGAGCCCGTCCTACAATAAAAACCATTACAAAGACGAAAAGTTCTACAAAAATTATTTAAATATTAATATAATAAAATAATGAAAAATTAAAATAACTTCGGGGGATGTGGACTTGTGACATTGATCCTTCTGATATTAAAACAAAAAATCAAGAACTCCAAACCGCGTGTAAGAGATTAGTATTACGTTTCTAGTTATTTCCAATAATAATTGTAATCATGAACTACATAGAGTAGAATGAAAATCTGATCATGCATTCATTCACATTTTGTTATCACTAAAAATGTAAATTTAATGTGAAAATTTAAGATTTATTTTATAGTTGAAAAGAGAAGACGAGCAGGCATGTTTGAACATGAATAAAATTACTTACTCCGAACAGGAGTGTTGTTATCTGTTTCTAGTTCCCACATCAGTTGTAAACTCGTGGAAGTTGATGACGACACTTTTATTCTTGGTGTATTAGGTGGATCTAAGGAATAAGTTTAAGATGAAGGTTTTAATACACGTTTGTGATACATCCAGTGCACTGGACTTGTGTGACCAAAAGCAAACTAACCACACAACTCTAAAAGATACAGCGTTAACTACACATCTGTGATCAACACAGTGTTAACTACACATCTGTGATCAACACAGTGTTAACTATACATCTGTGATCAATACAGTGTTAACTACACATCTGTGATCAATACAGTGTTAACTACACATCTGTGATCAGTGCAGTGTTAACTACACATCTGTGATCAATACAGTGTTAACTACACATCTGTGATCAATACAGTGTTAACTACACATCTGTGATCAATGCAGTGTTAACTACACACCTGTGATCAATACAGTGTTAACTACACATCTGTGATCAGTACAGTATTAACTATACATCTGTGATCAATACAGTGTTAACTACACATCTGTGATCAACACAGTGTTAACTACACATCTGTGATCAGTACAGTGTTAACTACACATCTGTGATCAATACAGTGTTAACTACACATCTGTGATCAACACAGTGTTAACTACACATCTTTAATCAATACAGCGTTAACTACACATCTGTGATCAACACAGTGTTAACTACACATCTTTAATCAATACAGC